TTACATGATCAAATCGGAATCAATTTATTCACCTTTAACTTTCACACTTACTTTGGAATTCAGTTTAATTCCGAATAATCGTTTTCATTCAGAATGAAGTGTTTCCATGCTCTTTTTAAAGCCGAACTCGTTTTTATTCAATGATTTTTATTTGGAGTTAAAGTTCTCATGTAAACGTCTAGTATGTGTGCAGTGTGAGCGTGAGTGATGGTGGAGGTCGGAGGGGCCGATGGTGCAGATTGGCAGCCTCTCTTCCGTCAGTCTGTCCCAGAGGCAGCTGTAGTTACAATTAGGGTTGGGCATGATTAATCGATAATTGATCATTAAGAATTTCATCGATTACGTTCATTATAATCGACAAACCGAATGTAGGTTGTTGTGTGTAGCGTGACCAAACAGGTGTGTACATGTGTCTCTGCATCAGAAGGAGCGAGAGACACAAACAGTGGGTCAGTCTGTAACGAACCGAAGCACAAATGTGTATTTAACGATGATTTGTACAAGAAATTCCACACTTTCCGTTGCGTTCGGGACAAGTGTGAGTCCATGTGCACAGTGTATAAAGCAGCACATATGTTTCAGTGTCCAGTGGGAAAAAGTTTTACCAGGTGAGAGTCGCTCAATGTCGATGACGAGTCTCCCACCTCCCTCCCCCCGTACAGTGTCCTGGTTTTGACAAACGCAAATCTGGTCACACTAACCTGTATTCACCTGAGTCATGTCTTTTAATCCAGACAGAAATTGACCACATCAGCGACACAAGAGCTGTAGTTTTATCTTCACTTAGTTTATGCAAATTAGCGATGAGGTTTTAAGTTTTGTTTCTGTGAGAGTTGAACAAAACTGAATTAAACACATTATAATGTCAAACGGGCTGATGTGGCTCTAGAGTCGTTACGGTTTATATGTCGTAAAGTTGAATTTATTGATGCAGATTAGTTTAGATTAATTCTTCCGACGATCGATTAAGAAAATTTCATCGAATGCCCATCCCTAGTTCCAATACTAACTTACCAGCACTGAGATCAGAGTGAATGAAGACTGACTATAGTGGAGCATTACAAGTGTATGGCATTAATATTATTGTTCTAAAAACAGCTGATTAAAACTGATTTGCTTTACATAAAATGTATTTGCAGTGTAAACTTTCTTAAATCTAAACCAGGACACACACAGGACAGACGCTTATTGATTTTCTGATGGAATACAACAGAATGAGACGATTATCAACAGAAAACATTAAACAGAATCCAAATCCACTTTATTTATAGCAGCTTTTACAAACAAAGCAGCTTCCAAAATGCTGCACAGAGATCGTAAAATGAAGACAACAAAAAGGCATACCTGTCCTCAAAAGTTTAATACCAAACTGTAAAACATCCTGGACTCCATGAACAAAAGTATTTAACAGACCCTCCACCAGAAACGTTCCACAAAAGTAGACTTGTCGTGGGTAACAGTGATATTTCTCTGGTTGATCTTTCTGTTTCGGTGACTTATTGACTGTTTTCCATGTGGTAAAGCGGAGCTAAAAATAGGGAGTTGTTTGGAGTTCATTTAAAAGATTAAAGCTGCTGTTGATTGCACAGAGACAGTGAGGCCTGAGACGCAGAAATGTCACTCATCTCTTAAGATAACACGCTCGCAAACTATTTTAGGGTCTTGGTTTTATCAGGCCGGTCACACAGAGGGAAGAGGGAAGACAGAAGAGGAAAGGTGGGGGTGGAGAGATCGACTCTGGTGCTTAAACCCTGGGAGGTGGAGGCTTTTTTAACAGTTTGCAGTGGTCCAAATTTACTCCTCACTTAAAGGTTGTATGGAGGATTTTTTGTTTTGTTTCAAATTGTCAATGAAAGTTTAAAACACCATTACAGAGACGCAGCAGCTTTGTAATTACGATGACCAAAAAAAAAAGAATAACAATTTATCAACTGTGGACGTGTTGAGGCCAGATAAACATCAGCCAATAGAAAACGAGGCTGCCTCTTTACCTATTGGCTGTCAGGTCATCAATCAAACTCCCTACGTTTCTAGTGTAATTGACTCGTCGGGATGCAGGGATCACGTGGTTTATGCGGCGGTTCTTAGAGGCTTTTTCAAACTGTCACTTCCTCACAAAGTTTGTTGCGACGGCGGACGGGAATCCACGACCAGTTCGCCGCAAAAGAAAGTCGGTTCTTGAGGTCGCTGAAAGAAGAAGAGAAGGGGAAAAGGAGCAAAGACAAACTGAGGTGATTCTTGGAGATTCCTTCCAGCGATGGCGCGAGTGAAGCGGACGAAGGGTCTAAAAACTCGCATGCACAACATTTGTAAAAGAACTGTCGCTGTATTTCTCTTCCCTTAAAAAAATCCTCTATACAACCTTTAACTTATGCATTCTCGGCGTCCTAATTATTCACCACGATGAGTTTATAAGCGCTTTTCACAACTTTCAGAGACCAGAGCGGAGATTTGCCGTGACCACAGACTGTAAAAAAGTGGACTGAGCGAGTTTGACGGTTTTCAGTTGAATGAAACAGTTATAGAAGCGAATTTGGAGTCGGGATCTACATTATGAATAGGATTTTTTTTTTTTTTTTTTTAATGGACAAAACAGCGAAAAACACACCAGGATCATGGGTGGGTTAATAGAGAGTTAATACAAACATTTTAAGACCAAAATGACGAGGCTCACAGCAGTAGTTACAGAAAGGGCCCACAGTATTCTAATGTAAGTCAATGGGAGCCAGAATCAGAAGGAGCCGGAAGATTCGCATACAAACTTCCTATTTCTAACTAAGGCATTCTAACTAGTGCATTAGTTATGTACATTTATATGTGCAGCCTATGGTCGTGATGGTAAAACTAGCATGCTAACACACACTTCTTAATCATCTGACAGTAAAAACTAGTCTCGTAGAACTGGTAGTAGTAGTGGACCGGCCTCGAGACCATGTTTTTGCGGTCTCGGTCTCGTCTCAGACTCGATCGCGTTTGGACTCGTTCTTGTCTCGGTTTTGAAGGAGTTTGGGCTCGATCTTGTCTCGGTTTTGAAGGAGTTTGGGCTCGGTCTTGTCTCGGTTTTGAAGGAGTTTGGACTCGGTCTTGTCTCGGTTTTGAAGGAGTTTGGACTCGGTCTTGTCTCGGTTTTGAAGGAGTTTGGGCTCGGTCTTGTCTCGGTTTTGAAGGAGTTTGGACTCGGTCTTGTCTCGGTTTTGAAGGAGTTTGGACTCGTTCTTGTCTCGGTTTTGAAGGAGTTTGGACTCGGTCTTGTCTCGGTTTTGAAGGAGTTTGGACTCGGTCTTGTCTCGGTTTTGAAGGAGTTTGGACTCGGTCTTGTCTCGGTTTTGAAGGAGTTTGGACTCGGTCTTGTCTCGGTTTTGAAGGAGTTTGGACTCGGTCTTGTCTCGGTTTTGAAGGAGTTTGGACACTCAATCTTGTCTTGATGTTGAAAGCATTTGTACTCGGTCTTGTCTCAATCTTGTAGGTGTTTGGACTCACTCTCACCTTGGTCTTGAAGGCGTTCGAACTCAGTCTTGTCTCGGTCTTGAAGTCTGACACTCGACGAGACGAGAGAGATAAAATGGGGACAGATTTATAAAAACATTGATTTAAATGTGCCAACATAATTGTAAGATATAAATAAATGTTGAAAATGACAAAGATAGTCTTGATTTGGTCTCGATGGGCCGTGGTCTTGGTTTTGTCTCAGTCTTGAAGGCGTTTGTGCTCAGTTTTGTCTTGGTCTTAGGTGCTTAGAATTGGTTTTGTCTGAGTCTTGAAGGCACTTGGACTTGGTCTTGAAGGCGTTCGAACTCGGTCTTGTCTCGGTCTTGAAGTCTGACACTTGACGAGTGATAAACTGGAGACAAATTTATAAAAACAATGATATATGTATGTGCCAAAACAACTGTAAAATACAAATAAATGTCGAAAATTACAAAGATGGTTTTGATTTGGTCTCGATAAGCTGTGGTCTCGGTCTTTTCTTGGCTTTTAAATGTCTTGGTCTTGTCTCAGTCTCTGCCTTTAAAAGTCTTGGTCTTGTCTCAGTCTCTGCCTTTAAAAGTCTTGGTCTTGTCTCAGTCTCTGCCTTTAAAAGTCTTGGTCTTGTCTCGGTCTCAGGCCTTTAAAAGTCTTGGTCTTGTCTCAGTCTCTGCCTTTAAAAGTCTTGGTCTTGTCTCAGTCTCTGCCTTTAAAAGTCTTGGTCTTGTCTCAGTCTGTGCCTTTAAAAGTCTTGGTCTTGTCTCAGTCTCTGCCTTTAAAAGTCTTGGTCTTGTGTCAGTCTCTGCCTTTAAAAGTCTTGGTCTTGTCTCAGTCTCTGCCTTTAAAAGTCTTGGTCTTGTCTCAGTCTCTGACTTTAAAAGTCTTGGTCTTGTCTCAGTCTGTGCCTTTAAAAGTCTTGGTCTTGTAACAGTCTCGACCCTCAGAGGTCTTGGTCTTGTCCTGATCTCGGGACCCTGTGGTCTTGGTCTCGATTGGTGTGGTCTTGACTACAACACTAGTAAAAATCTCCTCATGTTTAACTGTAAGATTCTGTGCAAAGCTCGGACCACAAGTCTACTGTACACAACAACCTGATGAGATGTGACGTAGTTTCGTTTTCGGACTAGACGCTCATCGTGTGTTGATAGAAGAAGCTCTGAAGTGGAAGTGACGAAAGTGAAGCTTATAACACGTGTGAATATGTAGTTGTGTTGTTTTCCGTGAACATAACATTTTCGAAACAGTCAAATGTTATAAACCCTTCGCATTAATCAAACATTTCTTCTTGTCTCTTGCAGCGACTCCTGGACTCTTCAGCTCCAAACAGTCGGACTTACAAAGAGGAATACCTTCTGTTACCTGCGATTTTCCCCAAACTTGTGGATTTATTTCCTTCCTGGATTATTTTTGAGGATGTTTTGAAACCTCTTCCTTCTTCTTCACTGGACGTCCCCATCGGAGTGTGTTGATTCTCGCCCCAGTGCTGCCCTCTTCTGTCCATTCGGATTACAGGGTAGGGACATGTTCCATTTACCATGCGCACCAGCACGTTGACCTGCCTGCCCGGCCCCGCCCCCCTGCTCTTTCTACTGGCCCATCTCTTCTCGGGGCTCCTCCTGCTTCCTGGACCCGAGTCGGTGGGGGGTGCAGGCTCCTCCCCCTCCGCTTCGAGCCAATCGTGTCCCACCCTGTGCACGTGCTCAAACCAGGCCAGCCGGGTGATCTGCACGCGCCAGAGCCTCGACCAGGTCCCGCAGAGCATCTCCGTCAACACGAGATACCTCAACCTGCAGGAGAACTCCATACAGGTACACGAGAGGAGGGGGACGGGGCAAAACTTGGTAAATTAGCCTAAGAGAAAGTTTCATCTGGGGTCTCAGTTGTAAAACTTTAGGTGGAATTCTTACTAACAGGGTAAAACTTCCTAAAATTCTTATTTTTCTTAAAGCGCCCATATTACTCTATTTTCTGATTTATGTTATAATGTTCCTCATCACAAACAGACCTGGACTTGTGTTTTGTTTCATTCACACATGTTTAACACACAAACCCTGCAGATTTAGGGTGAGTTCGTCTCTCAAATGGAAAACACTCTAATCTCTTCTAGGGCTGTAATGGTGGTTCGGTACGTACCTCGGTTTTGAGGTCACAGTTCGGTTCATTTTCAGTACAGTGTGGGAACAAAATACAAACAAATTTGCTTGTTGTTTATTTGTGTGTTTATTAAACCAACAACTTGTTTAAACATTACACAAATGGGAAAATAAAATAAATGCAAAGTGCTGCTTGGTAATACTAATAAGTTAAATAAAATATTCTAAAATAAACAATAAATGTATGAAATATTATAAAAAGTAAACTCCTTGTAAACAGTTAACAAAACTTTTCAAAAAGTAAAGTGCAGCACTAACAGTTCCAGCATGAAGTTTTACTCAATCTTCATATTTTTGGTCCGAAAAACCAACTTGTCCACATTGTGTGCAGTAAGTGCAGATCTGCTGCAGTTACAGTGTCAGTGCTGAGATTCCAGCAGTGAAAGGCGAAAGTGAGAACTGAGGTGCGACAGCTGTAGTTATGTGAGGATTTACATGGTTCAGAGGGATGTCGTCAATGTGGGGGTCAACTGTTGTGAAAGTGACCACCCTAACTATAAAGCACTACAGGAAACACTGCCCCAATCACAGACAAGTTCCCCTGTGAATATTAAAGAGCCGAGCCTTTGTGTAGCTGCACATGTAGTGGTGGAATGTAAACACACTGAAATTGAGAGAACTCACTCGTGCACAGCCCTGCACCGAACCCAACGTCCCGTACCCAAATGGTTCAGCACAAATACATGTACCATTACACCTCTAATCTCTACTGAACTAAGTGTAAATGTAGCTGTTAACTGTAATGTCCACTGCAAAGAACAAAACATCGTCTCTTGAAAGGTCTTGTATCTGTGGTTTAGGCCTTTACAAACAGAATCCTGAACAGAATCCTAAATACAAACTACACAAATGTAATAATCCCAAATGCAAATCTTTAATTCTTCAAACCAGAACTTGAATGATCCATATTACACTATTCTCTGATTTTATAATGTTGCTTCCTCAAAAACATACAGGAGATGTGTTTGTTTCATTCACACATGTTTAATGTTCTCAAACAGAAAACACTCTGTTCCACCTCGTGATGTCATGTGGTGATACAGGAAGTGCTCCTTTGGTGTTTTTAAACTCCATGCACCTTCACTAGAATCATTTGAATAATTTCAGACCTGGAATTACCAAACTCTACTGAACTAAAGGTAAAAGGAGCTGTTCACTTGAAAACTACCGCTTCATGACATCACAAGGTGGAACAGAGCATTTGGAGCTTTGGAGATGTACACAGACTAATAATAAAACATGACTCAAACATGTGTGAATGAAACAAAACACAACTCCAGGTTTGTTTTGAAGCAGGTAACAACATTATAACATGAGTCTGTTTTGTGTAATATTGGACCTTTAAATTGGAGTTACACTGCTTCACCCTGCAACATTTCTGCACATGTATTACTCTGAATATAATCTTTCTTGTAGACCATTTCAGTTGATCACATAAACCGGGCTTTTGACGTGTCATTTATAGATCTAGATTCATATGTTATTATAGATATAGATTTGTGTGTTAGGGCTGGAGGTGCTGTATCGATGTGGGGAGACACATGTTATAAAGCAGACACTGTGTCTTCATTAGCTCCTCTTTAATATCTGCTGCATCCACATGAGGCTCCAGAACACCTCAGATTTACACTAACAAAACAAATGCAATGAAAACTGACTTTTTGTTTTTAAGATGTTTTGTTGGTAAGAATTTTGTCCAGTTTCAGTATTTTGTTTCAAACAGTGAATTAACGTATTTCAAAGTGTACCATATAGGGATGGGCATGATTAGTCGACCAATTGATAATTGATCATTAAGAATTTCGTCAATCGCATTCATTTTTAATCGACAAACCAACTATAGGTTGCTGTGCAAGGAGACGAGGCTGCGTCTGACACAAACACTGGAGTTGTGGCCTCACAGTCTCACGTTTGGACTCTGACTCCTTGGAGACACTCAGTGAGTGTGTTTACAGCACATCAGTGTCCCGAGTATGATCGGGTTTTTGGAGTATCCCGGTTTTGTCATGGTGCATGTAAATGCAGTATCCCGGTTACTGCAACATAAAGTCGAGTGCACATGCATCCAAAAGACAAACACTTTTCACTCTTTTCATCACAACAGCAGCCAAAATAAATAAAGTGACCAAAATAAATAAAGTGAGTGAAATGATGTTAAATAAAGAGCTGCTCTAAACCTGCACACGTCTGATCTGTGAAAACATGAACCATCTTCAACACGACACACACACAGAACACACTCACCATCATCATCATCAACATCCCTCCGTCACAGACAGAACACTCATATTCCACTGAGTCGTGTCCTTTAGTCCGACAGAAGCTGAACTGCATCAGGAAACAAGGAAAGAGCTGTTTTTTTCAGCACTTAGAGTTTAGTCATGTGAGTCATGTGTTCAAGTTTCATTTCTGTAAAATGTAAACAAATGTGTCAAAGCTGCATGAAACGGGCTGATGTGGCTCTATAGTGGTTATGGTTTATATGTTGTAAAGTTGAGTTTCTTTATACAGATTAGTAATAGTAATAATGATGATGATCATCTTAATATCAAAATGTTCATGATTAATCGAAAATTGATCATTAATTCTCCCAATGATCGATTAGGAGAACTTAATGGAATGCCCATCCCTAGTACCATAGTATTATTGTATTTTCACTTTTTCACTCTAAAACAAAGGCAGTTGTGTAGTGGGTCTTGCACTCAAAAAAAAGAACTGTGTAACTTTTCTAGTGAAGGGTCCGCTGCCTACTCGTCACCATGGAGATATTACTGTTTTGTCTGGAATGTCCCAGTATGGCATTAAATGTATCTATCTTTCATTTACTTAATAACATGGGTTTGTATTGACCTTAAATACTTGCATTCTTCTGTGAGTGGGCCCGCCTCTCCACAGATCTGACACATCACTGTAACCCTGTGGCATCACCTGTAGAGAGAAAAAAGTGTAATGTCCATACTGTGGAACATTCCAGGTAATATATCCATGGAGAAAAGCTGGGGATGGACGGACCCTCCACCAGAAACTTTCCACAGTCACAAGAATGACTTAAATTGTTAATCGCTATGGCAACAGCCCTACGTTTTGATCCCTCTGAAGCCAGTGGATAGGACACTAGTTGAGTGTGCGTCCTATAGTAACGTTCATATAGAAAAACCACAGCAGCGTAAAGTGTAGAACGGCTCTCGGGCCCCGGCACAGCTCAGCTCAGGTATTTTTTATGCACAAACACGCATCATTTTTCACCTCGGCGTTCACTTCCTTCGCATTAGCTCTCCGTCTGCAGTCCCTCGGTGCAGTTTGGGGCCGTACCTGTGAAAAGAGAGCATCATTTAAGCACATACTCCAGACTAAACGCACAAAGAGCCCCGTAAAAACCAGAGCAGGAGAATTCATTTTAGTGCTGGCTTTTTACGGTAATTGGATCTATCCTGGTGATGCTGACAGCGCTTTGTTCTCCGGCCATTTTTCATATTCATTTGAGAGCGTTGAATGCAGAGAGGAGCTTTGCTAAACGTGGTTAGATCGGCTCAGATTTGAGTCAAAGCGGTGTCCTTATGTCCTCTGAGGAAACGTCACATTAAAGGACCTGTATCTGATTTTTGTTTCCGTGTTTCTCCTCACAAACCTCTTGTACATAACCGAGACACATTTGTATTGCTGTATTTCTATGATTCATTTTTACTTGTACACAGTGTTGGGAGGAACACGTTTATGAAAGTAAAGAATTACTGTAGTGAATTGCTTTTCACTGTAACGCAGTAATGTAAGGCATTACAGGGAAAACAATGGTGATATTTTACTCAGTACAAATGTCAGTCATGTGTGAAGAATCCCTCAGTCGTCCAGGTGGAATCCACGGCCAGGAGAAAAATCTGGTTTGTCAATTTTGCGCATAAATGTCAGTAATGTGCATTACAATGGTCCTGGTTTAGACCTGGTTTAGTCCTGGTTTAGACCTGGTTTAGTCCTGTTTAGACCTGGTTTAGTCCTGGTTTAGTCCTGGTTTAGTCCTGGTTTAGTCCTGGTTTAGTCCTGGTTCAGTCCTGATTTAGACCTAATTTAGACCTGATTTGGTCCTGGTTTAGATCTGGTTTAGTCCTCGTTCAGCTCTGGTTTAGTCCTGTTTTAGACCTGGTTTAGTCCTGATTCAGTCCACTTTTACACCTGGTTTAGTCCTGGTTTAGTCCTGGTTCAGACCTGGTTTAGTCCTGATTTAGACCTGATTTGGTCCTAGTTTAAACCTGGTTTGGTCCTAGTTTGGTCCTGGTTTAGTCCTCGTTCAGATCTGGCTTAGTTCTGGTTCAGACCTGGTTTAGTCCTGATTTAGACCTGATTTGGTCCTGGTTTAGTCCTGGTTTAGACCTGATTTAGTCCTGGTTTAAACCTGGTTTGGTCCTGGTTTGTTCCTGGTTTAGTCCTTGTTCAGATCTGGTTTAGTCCTCTTTTAGACCTGATTTAGTCCTGGTATAGACCTGATTTAGTCCTGGTTTAAACCTGGTTTGGTCCTGGTTTGTTTCTGGTTTAGTCCTTGTTCAGATCTGGTTTAGTCCTCTTTTAGACTTGATTTAGTCCTGGTATAGACCTGATTTAGACCTGATTTGGTCCTGGTTTAAACCTGGTTTGGTCCTGGTTTAGTCCTCGTTCAGATCTGG